GCATCCCGTGGAACCGTGCCACGTCCAGCCCTTCTCGCCACAAACCGAGCCGTCGTGGCACAAGTCCTGGCCGCCGTCGCCTTTATAGTAGTGCATCCTGTCGCAGAGGCGGCCAAGCCCTCGGGGATAAACAGTCTAGGAAAAAGAAAAAACAAACACTGATGACTCTTTTTTTTTTTTTTTGCTATTTCTATGAAAAAAAATGAGGAATCCGAGACAGCTGGGAGAATCCAACTCACCCTGCGACCGGTGACGGGCAGGCTGAGCAGAGAATCTGAGTCCTGAGGACAGCGCTGGGACCGAAAGCTTTTATATGCGGCTGAGCTCTCTTGGACATGAGGCATGCCATGGGAATTAATAGCTGAGCAGTGAGTGCCACTTCTGTATGTATATTTTTCCTGGCACTTGCTGTTGGATTAATCAGCTGCAATTAGCATCTCCCTTGATGTAATGTCAGCTTAGCTCTTCGCATATGCAGTGGCCATTATCTAATTAGTTCTCCCATCGGTTGCGTTCAAATACGCTGTTACCTAATGTTAGTCAGATGGGATCCTGGGATAAGGATACCTGGAATATCGTCATGCTGAGTGATGTGGCCAAAAGGAGTCTCATGGTAGTGGGAAAAAACACAAAAAAGCCCTGGAGTCCGGTCGCATGTCCGGGTGCCCAACAGCTCATGCCTTGAAACAGGGTGTTGGTGCAGATGGTTTTTCACGGGGCTGAAAGAAAGCAGAGAAAAACCTATCTAGGAAAACAAACAAGCTTCCTACCAAAACCAAGAGCATTTTTTAAAAACAAGGAAAAATTAGAAAAAACAGTGAAATTCTATTTTCACTAAGAAGTGATTTTTTCACTCTATTTCGGCTTAACAACATCCCGACCAAACCTAAAGCAGGAATCGTCGTGTTGGTGTGGTGCTCCATGGAGCTGGGGTTTCTCCGCAAACCCTCTCTGGGAACCCAGCCTGATGCTCAGCAGAGATGAAATTATTTTACTGCCTCTTCATGCCCTGCTCCACACTTTGATCCATGGCACCGTGGTCTGCAGCTGGAAGTGCCCCGTGACGGGACAGGGACTGCGCTCAGTTATCGTTTCTACTTGAATATAATGAAGAGAGGGAAAACTTCTTTTTATTCTGCCAACTTTGTGAAACTGTGATTTTATTTTGTAAAGCTGGACTCCACGTGGACTTTTATTAGTTATCAAAACTCCTGAATTTTGGTTTAGCAGGATTCAGAAAAAATAACATTAGAAACTTATATTTTAATGCTTCTGTTCTTTAAAAACAGACATCAGGTTTTAATTAACACCCTTTTTCTGATAAGATGACCTTTCCTCATGGAGTACTTCAGAACTGAAGTTGCAGATGACATCTAAAAAGACATGGAAAGCACAATCAGTTCTTTAAAGATTGCAATTTCTGCCAAAAAACCCCATCTTCTGACACTGAAAATGTTATCAAATAATAGTTGTTGTTGTTTTTTTTTTTTCTTTCATAGGCTTCCATCTGAAAAATCTTTGGCTTTTGATTTGTTAGTGGAAAGTTGAAATTTTCTGAGAGAAAAGACAGGAGGTTTTCCAGCTGGCTTTCTGGTTGGGGATGCAGGTTGGACTTTGTCAGAGAAAGTCTGTGATATTTGGGCATGATGCTCATCACCATCCAGAGCACAGAGAAATCTGACAGCTGGTGGGATGGTGAGGGAATCAAGGGTGACGTCAGGACCACGATGAGTGGATGGCTGGAAGAGGTGAGCTGTAAATACAGGATCCCTATGGATACCAGCACACCAGGACGCAGGGACGGACTGCATCAGGCTACGGACGGGATGTATATTCCTCTGTTTAAATGAATTAATTCCCTTCCCAGTAAGGAGCACCTCGGTCAAGTGAGCAGGTACAGCACCGAAATCCCTTTTATGCGCTGCAAATCTGGAATGAGGATGTCACAACCAGCAATTTCAGGCTTCGTCAGGCGCCGTATCCACTTTTCTGACATTTCTGCTTTGACTCATTTTCTGTACAGCTGCTCCACTTTGCGTTTCTGTGGATGGTAAAGGCATTTTTTAAGTACCGATGAAGTATCTCACAGCAGCCCCGGGGCTGTCAGTGCAAAAGGTATTTCCATGCACTCACTCCATGGCAGGGCCTCTGTAAGAGATGCTCAGAGGTTTGTCCAGCGGCATTTGGGTTTGAATCACCGGGAAAAGCGTGTGCAGAATTCAGGGGTGTGGCTCCAGGGCGCGTGCTTGGACCTGAATGACTTTGCTGCCGCTGAGATAATTTATTCTTTAGCTACAGGAAAAACATAGTTTGCAGGAAGACACAGGGCTTTCATGTAAGGACTGAAAAGACCTTGGTGGCTGTTAAGGACCAACAAGGATTTTAGATTTATAACTCTATCACAGTCCCAAGATTATGCTGGTTTTGGATTTTTTCACCTTAGAAGAGGTGTTTTGAAGTCACTTCCCTTCCTGAGGATTTTACAAATCACAAAGTGCAAATATTTCATCTCTTAAAATTTGCTATATTTTAATAGAATTCCAGAAGACATTAGATAACATTTCTGAATCCTTCAAGCTAGGCTTATATCTCCACATCTTTCAATGACTCTCTCCCTCCCTGCACCATGCAGACCATGCCTGCTGATCTATTTAATCTTATTGATGAGATATCAAGCCTTTTAAGAAGCCTGCTTTAAAGCTTAGCAAATTTGCTGGGAAGATTTCCATTAACAAAAAAAGACCTTTAGCTCTGGCTTTAGGACCATACAGATGCTTCAATTGCAGACTGTGTATCTTCAAAGTCATAAGCAAAGGAAAGATGATGTGAAACTCCATGGCCAAGAGGATACTCTTGCAGCTTAGATGACTTATTGACATTAGCAAGAACTGGTTTTCCCCGGATGATACACTGTCTCAAGAAACTTATCACATATGCTGGGGCGCTGTCAACAGTAGCATGACAAACAGTTGAAAAATTCATTCTATTCAGAAACTAAGCAAGTGCTAAAAAAGTCTCAGATCAAAGCTATAGTTTAGAAGACAAAGATAAATGAATAAACGTATACCAGAAGTTTGCAGTGTCATAACTTATAATTTTTATTACCTTTCATGACTAATTGGAAATTAAAGCAAGGAAAAGGAGTATGATGCATCAACAGCATTAAACATCCCACACACCAAGAGGAAAATTAACAGCAGGACTAGTACTGACAAAGGAAAATCACACCGATCAACGGGTAACAACTTCAAAGCACACGACAAGCGTTTGGTGATTAAAGACAGTCAAAGAAGAGGAGAGATGATCTTAGGACAGTCTCTAAGCAAAGGAGGAAGAGCATTTAGGGCGGCATCCATATCCATATCCATATCCATATCCAACGCGGAATGAGCCAGGAGGGAAGCAGCAGGCAGCGCAGCCCTGCCTGCCCGTGGCCGGGGGGGTTTAGTTGCCGCAGCAGCCGCCGGTACCGCCGCCGCCCCAGCCGTTGTTGTTGTTGTTGGATATGGTGTAGCAGCAGGCCTGCATGGGCATGCAGCAAGCGGTGGGGTAGCAGCACTGCGTGGGCGCGCAGCACATCGGCGTCCTGTACCCCTTTGGGCTGCTGTAGCAGCACACGGTGTAGTTATTCCCACCACCGCATCCACAGCATCCGTTGGGCATGTTGTCGGTAGGAGTGTAGGCAAAGCTGGAAGGAACAGAGAGAGTCTGTCTGTGACTAGGAGCAGGATATTTGGAAATACAGGATTAACTCTAAGTTCCCCTTACGCTAAACTCGGAGATTCAAGGAGCTGAAACCGAGTGCCATCTTGTTTATAGTAAATCTTGCTCGTAACTCTTCTCTGTGTCGTTTTCCCTTCCATGTAGATGCCCACCTATTCGTACCAGGGCATCCCCATTATCTTAGCAAGAATCATACAGCCCAGTGCACCTAGTCCTCGATCTGAGCCCTCCTGAAACGTTCTTGGTCCCTTTGCTCTTCATGACTCTGCTGATACTCCTGTAGCCTTTCCATCCTTTAACGTTTCTACTTTGTCCCTGTAATTGCTAGTACACGGTTCATAAAAGCCCAACTTCAGCCAAAGCCCCAGTCCAGATACCCGGTTTTATCTGGATGCTGTTTTAGATAACCACAACATTTTTCTTTTGTGAAAAGGAAGGAAGGTTCAGATGTTCCCACTTACCCTGTGGAAGAGTGAGTAGAGATGAAGGGAAGAGGAGATGAGCGAATGAAGTGAGCTGGGCCGAGAGACCTTTTATAGTCCTAGACACCTTCCTCCTGGAAGTGAGACAGCCATTGACCATTCGAGCTTCCCTGTTTACTAATCCAAACCCATACTTTTTAGCTATACGTGTCTTCTGGTATTTACTCTTTGCCTTATTATTTGTGATCGCTACCTTTGTTTTGCCTCGTAATTGTTTTAGCCTGAAGATAATCAAAGGGCTCCTATGAATACTAATGAATTTGTCCTCTGCAGCCTTGCAAGGGAGCCAAAAAATGCGTCCTCATATCTGTTTGACAAATGCAGATGGTGATGGTCAAAGATGTTAAGGGACTTACTCAGCAGCGGCCGGTGCTGAATCAGTGTAAGAGCCGAAACTGAACTCCTGGGTTGCGTCTTTCGGGCACGTGATGGGCTGTTTCATCGGACTGGTGTTCGAAACAAATATTTGAAAAATTTCATGAAAATAGATGTGTTTGTTCCCGGTCATAGAACACGCATGTTAGGAGGAGCAAGACCATATGTTTGGCATGTGTCAGGGGTCATGCTGGTTCCTGAGTTTCAGTCAGCTGCACATGACTCCATGCAAGATCATAGAATCACAGAATGGTTTGGGTTGGAAGCGACCTTCAAGATCATCCAGTCCAACTCCCCTGCCACGGGCAGGGACACCTTCCACTGCACCAGGTTGCTCAAAGCCTGATCCAAGCTGGCCTTGAACACTTCCAGGGATGGGGCAGTCACAGCTTCTCTGGGCAACTTGTCCCAGTGCCTCACCACCCTCAGAGCAAAGAATTTCTTCCTAGTATCTCATTGAAATCTCCCTTCTTTCAGTTTAAAGCCATTGTCCCTTGTCCTATCACTACGTGCCCTTGCCAAAAGTCCCTCTCCAGCTTTCCTGTAGCCCCTTTAAGTACTGGAAGGCTGCTAGAAGATCTCTCTGAAGTCTTTTCTTTTCCAGGGTGAACAACTCCAACTCTCTCAGCCTGTCTTCATAGGAGAGGTGCTCCAGCCCTTGCATCATCTTCATGGTACTCCTCTGGACCCACTCCAACAGCTCCATGTCCTTCTGACATTGGAGGCCCCAGAGCTGATCATCTTGCCCTCACTAAGAACATCTTCGCAATGCCAAAGCCATTTTTATCTTTTGGCTTGCCTAAACTTTTGCAAATCCATTTTAACTAAAAAGTAAAGGGGCAGCACTGCCTGTGCAAGCGACAACACAAGGAGCCGTGGCACTGGGGCTGGGCACGATGCGTTGAGAGTCAACACGTCTCTCCTGACACCTCCCCTTGCATCCAGCTGAAATCCTCTTGTGTGCTGGAGCCCTGGCACCGAGCAGGACCACCCGTGCCCAGCTCCTTAGCAGGGAAGGAGAGGGCCTTAGAGTTGGAGGTTGTGCAGGACCCTTTGTGGGTGTTGGAAGTGGTAAATGAGTGAATCCAACATGGACCGAGAGGGTGAGAGGAAGGTGAAGGTGGAATAGATATGACAAGCACGGAAAACTGGTCCTAACGGGGGTCACGGAGCTGAGTGGGATGCAAGGACTCATAAGCAATGCGGGAAGAGGTGTTGTTGGGGTGGAACCATTTTCTGGGAGGGAGAGAGGAAGGGAGGAAGGTCAAGGTAAGGCAAAGCCTTGGGCAACTGAGCCAGGGTGGATGAATGCTTGTTTAACGCCAGCCATGGCCTCCAATGCACTTTGCTGTGGGGCTGAACGCTGGCAGGAACACAGGGTATTTGGGAGGAATTTTTTCCACGGCCTAAAATTGCAGCTCTCGTTAGAAGACCTCGCTGCATTATCCTGAGAGGAGTGCTGCCTAATGAGAGGATGGTGGAGGCTGCCTGGCGAGTTCCCTGCCTGCTGCCTGTTATCTTCCGGGATCCCTAGGGTGCTCCAAAGAGGGGTCCTCCTAGATGAGGTCCTAGATGAGCCCTGAGAATGCTAGCAGGGACCTTGGTTTACTTTCTGCACAGTGCAAGGGGGAGCAGATGGTGACTTAAGTGCCACTTCACCCTGCAGGAAATGCAGCCAGCTCCTTTCCAGGCTTTCCTGGGATGACAGTAATTCCTTGAGTGAAATGCTGGAGAAGCAACACATGTAATTGTAACTTCTCCAGACAGGCCAGAAGAATATGCATGGCATTTCCTTTCCAAGGTCCCCTCCGAGGTGGCATACACTTGCCTGCCCATGAAAACCAATTAATTGACAAGGAATTAATGGGGCAGAAGCAAAGGGGCACACTTCACTTGTGCCTCCAGAGGGAAAGTTCTCATTGGCAAATCCTGCAACTGTAAGAAGAAACGATGATCTCGGTGGGCATTTCCCCCCTGGGATAGTCGTGTCCAACCATTCGTGTAACTTAGGTACTTGAATGGTCTTTGGTGAGTGGGCTATGGATCATAAAGCAAAGAAGGGACTGAAGTGGTGTGGAAACAGAATCAGCAAAGGGCATTAGACACAGAACGAGGACTGTGGTGCAGATCCTGCACACTGTGTTTTGGTACAACTCTTGCTGACCCAGTCACTCCTCAAAGACAGTGGAGATTTCTCACCATTTGTTCTAACACTTCAACTCGATATCTGGTAACCCAGACATTTTAGCAGAGGCAAGACCTCCATCTCATAAATGTTAAACTATTTATAGGGACTATCTGTAGGCTCTGAAGTAGACCTCTAGCTGGTTGAAATTCATGGAGCTTTCCTAGTCAGGATGCGCCTGTGTCAAACTATTTCAGAAGAAACTCACATGCTTGATGAGTTTATGAATTATTCTCTTCCTATTTCTTTGTAGTTTTACAGTGAAAGGAGAAATATTGCTTGCAGAGATGCCAGGCACTCAGCTGTTTTTTAATAAACCCATTCAGAAGCTCAGAATTTCTCAGAACTTCATTGCTCATCAGGGATGCAATAATTTTCCTTGTGTAGGCAACCCTAGTTAGCACTTTTTAGACAGCAACATCCCAAGACTGGAAAAAAATGCAAAGAAAAGGTGATAGGTGTGGCGATGCCATCTAGATTCACCAGGTAGCAAACAGATAACCACCAGGAGTTTTGCAGGGTCATGAACTACAGATTTTATTGTTTTTTTCCAGACAGACTGAAGCAAAAACAGTGATGAAAAAAAATTGAACAACCCACACACCAAGAGGAAAATTAACAGCAGGACTAGTGCTGACAAAGGAAAATCACACCGATCAACGGGTAGTAACTTCAAAGCGCATAACAAGCATTTGTTGATTAAAGACAGTCAAAGAAGAGGAGAGATGATCTTAGGACAGTCTCTAAGCAAAGGAGGAAGAGCATTTAGGGCGGCATCCATATCCATATCCATATCCGACGCCGAATGAGCCAGGAGGGAAGCAGCAGGCAGCGCAGCCCTGCCTGCCCGTGGTCGGGTGGGTTTAGTTGCCGCAGCCA